CCCCAGGACCCACCGAGTTCGTAGGCAGAATGAAGGAGCTGGCAGGTGTGAACACTGCTGTGCAAATAATCCTGCCAGATTTCCAGGGTGGGAAGATTCCCTCTGGGTAACCTCCCCCACTCCCACCTTCTGACGGTTGAGCCAAGAGGGGCCTCTCGCAGCAGAGACAGAGCGTGGCTGGAACCCAGATGGCTCTGGGTGAAATCCAGCCCTTCCTCTTCCCATCTGGGTGACCTGCTCTCTGTTCACGGCCTGCAAAATGGCAACATTAGCTCCCTCCAGGGCTGGTTAAAGGCAGCCTTATCAAATGCGTGACGTGGATGAAGGGCTATCATGAAGATAAAAAGGCGAGGGACACAGCCACTGCAGCCAGGCAGCCTGGGGCCGCACCCCACTTTACTGGCTGGGAAACTTGAGCACGTTACTTAATCCCTCTGCGCCTCAGTTTCCTCATGTACAAAACGGGTATAAAAAATAAATTGGGCTCAGCCTAAGAGATAGGGGCAAAGTGCAGATAAAGGTGAATTACCCAGCAACAACACTTTCTGCTCGTAACTGCTCCTGAAACACAGAAGGCATCATGTGTCTCCTCATTGTCATTGTCCTTGTCATTATAATAATAAAAATGATTCCTATTAAGATATTCGTACCCCCGTGTTTATGGCAGTGTTATTCACAACAGCCAGGACATGGGGAAAACCTAAGTGTCCACCAATGGAGGAAGGGGTAAAGAAGATGTGGTATATAAATGTGGATATTACTTCACCGGTAGAAAGAAGAAAATTCTGTTATTTGCAGGAAGATGGGTGAATCCTGGGGGCATGATGCTCAGAGAACTACGTCAAAGACAAATACTGTATATCCCCCACTTATGTAATATGAGATCTACCAAAAAAAGAAAAAACCTCATAGAAACAGGAGTGAAGGGGTGTTCCAGATTAGGGGGGGGGCATGGGGAGATGTGGCTCAAAGGGGGCAAACTTGTAAGATTAAGAAGTTTGGGGGACGCCTGGGTGGCTCCATCGGTTAAGTGTCCAACTTCGGCTCAGGTCATGATCTCATGGTCCATGGGTTCGAGCCCCGCTTTGGGCTCTGTGCTGGCAGCTCAGCCTGGAGCCTGCTTGGAATTCTTTCTCTCTTCCTCTCTCTCTCTCTCTCTCTCTCGCTACTCCTCCCCCACTCATGATCTGTTTCTGTCTCTCAAAAATGAATAAACATTAAAAAATTTTTTTAAAGTGTGGGGATCTAGCATACAGCATGGTGACTGTACCTAATGATACTCTGTCATATACTTGAACGTTGCTAAGACAGTAGATTCTTTGTGTTCACAAGCACACACACACACACAAAAAAAAACAAAAACAAAAAACCCAGGAAAACCAGTAATTATGTGACCTGGTGGAGGCCGAGCTAATACTATGGGGATAATCATTTTGTAATTTATGTATGTATCAAATCAACACATTGTATACCTTGTACTTACACAAAGTTATGTGTCAATTAGAGCTCAATAAAGCTGCAACAAAGATTTACTATGAAATAATTCTTTGCAGAGGAGGGGCCCCTGGGTGGCTCAGTCCGTTAAATGCCCAACTCTTGGTTTCAGCTCAGGTCATGATCTCATAGTTCGTGAGTTTGAGCCCAGAGTCGGGCTCTGCGCTGACAGTGCGGAACCTGCTTGGGATTCTTTTTCTCTTCCTCTCTCGCTGCCCCTCCCCTGCTTGTGCGTGCTCTCTCTCAAAATAAAATAAATCAACTTTGAAATATATATATGCGAAGAATTCTTCATGGAAAAGCAGGACTACATTGCTTTCAAGAGCTTAGGCTGAGAATTAGAAAGAAGTTACCCCCGATTCCATTTCATGGATGAGCTCCGAGGCTGAGAATGGGGAAGGAGTTTGCCTTGGTTTCCTCATCTGCAACAGGGTTCTTCCGAGAGATGCCCCCCCCATATTGAGGACTGCAGGACCCACGTCAGAATAAACGCTCAGGGTGTAGCCACCCAGCGTAGGGGGCCGTCCCCTACCTCTACCCCCACTCTTTGGCAGGCGGCCCGTGGCCACGAGGGAGCATTCCCAGACAGCCTGGCCTTGAAGCCCAGACCTGTGGGTGGTTCCCCCCTGACCAGCCACAGGCATCTGGGCCCCAGTTCCAGTGGCTACCCCATTTTGCGGTTTCTGCCCCCGCTCCGAGACCTTGGCCCAGGATGAAAGGCTGAGGAGGAGGCTGGGAAGTGAGGGGAGGCTGGGTGGGGCCGGAGGGGCAGACAGCAGAGCTGCCCCAGGGCAGGGTGATCTCCAGGCATAGCTAGGCTCTGTGGGGGGCTGGGGCCCTGGACCCCCGGCAGAGGAGGCAGGAACCCGTGGGTCCAGACTGCAGGCTGACCCTGACCCAGCTCAGCAGTTCCCTCCCCCCCCCCAACATGCAGTACCGTGAGTTCAGACTCCGTGACCTTGGGGAAGTCACCTGTTCCACTTGGGCCTCAGTCTCCCCGTTTGCAAAAGGAGGGAACTGCAAGATAGGACTTCTGGTGTCTGTTCCTTCTGGGTTTTTCTTGCTGGATTTTGCCTTCTGTCTCGTCCCCTTCACCATCCGTCTCCCCCACTGCTCCTCTGCCTTTCTGTCTCTCTTTCTCTGTGGCTCTCCGCTTCTCCCAGCCAGCCGGTCTATTTCTCTCCCTCACCCCGGTCCCCCTATCTCATACCATACCCCAACTTCCATGACCCCATTGGCATAACCATTTGGTCCCACAAAGTGATTGGGGTGCTTTTTGTGCGGGACCCTGTGCTGGGGTTTGGGTCCAGCAGAGGGCAAGGAGACTCCCAGACAGCAGTCACGTTTCTGGCCACCAGCTCTGTCCCTGGGGTCAGATTCCAGAGGAAGGGTGGAGGAGGAATCTGGGCTCCATATGGGTAGAGGGACAGGCCTCAGGCTTTGACCCTTCAACAGACCTGAGCACAGCCTGACATCTAGACTGAGGGCAGGAAGTCAGGCCAGAGTCGAGATCAGATAACACTGAGAATGAAGCCTGCAGGCCTCCCGGCCAGCCTGTTTGGGCTGGTTCCCGGCTCTGACCTCTCTTTCAGAGAGCTGGGCTCATCTGTGAAATGGGTATTGAAAGTACCAGAGAAGGTGGCTCATCCTGGGGCTCGACCAAGCGGGCCTGGGTCATGCATTCGGTGCTGGGCTTAGCACACAGCAAATACTCAATGCCCCCATCTGCCTTTACAAAGCATTTTCCATCTGCTATGCCCCCGATCTCCCAAGTCTCCTGTCCCTCTGCCCCTGGGGCACCCCTTTTCCCTGCCCCAAGACTGGCAGCCAGAGGGGACCCCATGGGCCCAGCACAGCTGCGGTTTTAGAGAAAGGCCTCCCGGCAGGGGCCAGGCACAGGGGCGAGGTGAGGTGGCCGCCGGCCAGCATTTCTGCTGTGCGAGCTGGGCTCACAATGGAAAGTGCTGTTCTCCACAGTACCCTAGGCAAGGCCGGGGCTCTGGGGGCCGCTCGGGGCCCAGAGCCTGCTGAGCCAGCTAGAGCTTTGTGGCGCAGAGCGTGGGCCCTGGTGTCTGCCAGACTATAAAATGGGGGGTCGGCCCCCAGTCACCCACTGCACCAGCCCGCCCGTCCGCCTGCCTGTCCTTTAGCAGGAAGTAGCAGGTCTCCAGGTAAGAGGGAAGTGGGCAGCTGCTGAGAGCCCAAGGGGAGGGGAGAGGAGAGGAGAGGCACGGGGGAGGCAAAGAGAGACATAGCAAAAGAGAGAGAAAAGCAGAGTGAGAGAGAAAGGAGATACAAATAAACAGACAAGGGCAGAGAGAAGGAAAGAGGGAGAGAGAGAGAGAGAGAGAGAGAGACAAGAACCACTCCAGGAAGGAAGGACACTGACTGCCAGCTCAGGGGAATGTTGGTTCCCAGAGAGTGACACAGGCGTTGTGTGGGGAGTAAGCAGGAGCCTGGGAGTCACAGCTGTGGCCCAGATGTCTGGCCTGCCCAGAGTGGGCAGGGCACAGCAGAGAAATGACAGCCCTCCTGGGGGAAGTTGGGGGAAGGATCTGCTTGCCCCAACTTGCTCTTTCTTACCCAAAGCTTTCAGGGATCAACTGGGGACCAGAGGGTCTTAATCTGTGCTGGGAGGGGGTCCTCAGATCCCTGGAAATTGTCTCCAAAATTAAAGGGGGCAAGGACACGGCGTTCTTCAAATACTTCCAAAGCAATGAGGAGCCGCAGGCATTGACTCAAGCCCTCTGCAGCCAGCGCCTACGCAGTCACAGTCTTCATTTTAGAAGCCCCTTCATGCACTCGACCCATCATCTTGGCTGCCCCTTTATGCCCCAGTCCCGGGCCCAGGTCTGCACCCACACTCCCCTTCCCAGGCAATGCCAGAACCCGGGAAGAAGTCAAGAACCCGCAGGCATTCATTCCCCAGACAGGTGTTGGTGGAAATGCCTCTGGGCCAAATGTGGGCTCATCAGAATAAGGAAGGAGCAGAGCTGCCATCCCCCGGGGGCTGGAGTCTCACCCCTTAGCAGCCTGTGCTGGGCCGTCACCCCCTCTCTCTGAGCTCAGAGCCGATAAGATGGCACCCATCGAAACTCACCGCACTGGCTCGGCGTTCATTGTTGTGCATGCTCGCCACGTGCTTGGCGTATTGTACCCCGAGGACTCCCCAATGGGACATCTTGTTATGAATCTGGGGAGGGGGGCGAACTGAATGGAAGCAGCACAGAGAAGCCCGATGGGCGAGTGCACAGCTATAGGGTGGGAGGAAGGGACATTAGCAGGGGATTCGGGGAAGGGGATGCGAGTGCGGCAGGTAGTAGGAGACCTGGTGAAAAGCCAGGAGGAAGACACACCGGGAATGAGTGGTCCCCAGGCAGGGAATTTAGAATGAAAGAGAGAGAGAGCGCGTGTGCAAATGAGTTCAAAGAAGGCTGCAGACATGGGGAGGGGGGATGCGAGGCTTGGGGGCGCCACCCCCGAGTGACCGAGGCCACAGGTTCCTTTGCAGAGGTTTGCAGGTGGCGACCATGTCCCAGGCTGTGAAGGCCTCAGCTACTGCTGCAGTGAGCCCAGGACCCGATGGGAAGGGGAAGGGGGCCCCGGCTGCAGGACCAGCCCCCGGCCCCGCCATGGCCCCCGCATCCGTGCCCACGACAAAAGCGGGGGACCTGCCTCCAGGCAGCTACAAGGTAAGCATTCTGGGGAGCAGTGGCTGGGCTCCACCCCTGCACTTCCTCTCCCTCCCCCCTCCCCTTCCCTCCCTCCCTCTTCCCCTGCCAGTCCAGCCAGCCCCACCTGGCTGTGCTCAGCGAGTTTCGAGAATGGAAGGAGGGGCAGAGGGGGACTGGCTACGCAGCAGGAACCACCAGCCCCCCTGGGAGGTATTCTAGGAGCAGCAGGTGGCCTCGGACCCTCCAGAAAATATTTCGAGGCACTGAGGTCGAAAGAGCTTCCGCACATCGAGTCCCTCGGGTTGGGGTGGGTTTGGTTTCAAACTGGGGTGCACGGACCTGGGTTCAAGATATGCTCTCTCATGTGGTCCCTGTGTGGCCGGCTTTTGTCATGCAGTTACTTCTTTTCTAAAAATTTTTAACGTTTTTATTTATCTTTGAAAGACAGAGAGAGACAGGGTGTGAGCAGGGGAGGGGTAGAGAGAGAGGGAGACACAGAATCTGAAGCAGGCTCCAGGCTCCGAGCTGTCAGCACAGAGCCCGACGTGGGGGCTCGAACCCACGAACTGTGAGATCATGACCTGAGACGAAGTCGGATGCTTACCCGACTGAGCCACCCAGGTGCCCCTATGCAGTTCCTTCTTTAATCATTCATTTACATTTATTTATTTTTTTCAATTTGAGAGAGAGAGCGTGAGCACAAGCAGGGGAGAGGGGCAGAGAGAGAGGAGAGAGAGAATCCTAAGCAAGGTTCCATGCTCAGCTCAGAGCCTGTGGCAAGTCTCGATTCCACAACCCTGGGATCATGACCTGAGCAGAAATCAAGAGTTGGGACGCTTAACTGATGGAGCCACCCAGGCGCCCCTTTATTTAATTTTTAACAATACAACAATGCCTGCAGACCCCACTCCTTCCCCATTAAAAGCCAGAACCTAGTAAAAATCCTTTAACGCTGAAGTATTCCCCATGAGCCCACCCCCCTTCTCCCCTATTCAAGGCAACTGCCACCTTCACCCCTGCCCATCATCTGCCTCCTTGCATTTTTATGCACTACGCCTTTAAAAGAAATTCCTGTGTTTGCGTTTTACATGTTTTTAACTTCTTGAATGATGCTGTATGCAATCACGTGGGGTTATCTCTCTTCACCCACCACTATGAGGTCGAGAATAATCATCCACGTTGCTGTGTGCTGCTGTGGGTCACTCATTTCGGCAGCTGGTGTTTCAGAGTGGGACCACCACTCCTGAAGACCATTTGGGTGGTAGCTCACTTTGCTCTGGTGAACGGGGTGGCCAGGGTGTTCTTGTCCACGTTTCCTGTGGCCCACGTGCCAGAGTTTCTCTGGGGAGGGCAAGTGGGGGGCGGGGTACAAGTGCCGGGTCAAGGGTACGCAAACTTCCTCCTTGTAGAGCTGGGGAAACTGAGGCTCAGAGAAGGCAGACACTTGCCTCAGTTCAGGTGAATGGCAAGGTTTTCCCAACTTGGGACGACAAAATACCGGAGGCCCCGTGAAGGGAGGGTTTAACCCAAGTTCAATGCAGAGGCCCCTGCGCCGAGGCAGGTGGACCGGCAAGCACTTTCGGAGGTCAGTTCCATGACAGGTGCTGAGGCTGCAGGTGCAGAATTGGGTCAAGCCCACACCCTGCCCTGGAGAAAGCCTTTGGTCTTCAGAAGTTGAATAAAGGGGGAGGGGGTGCACAGAGAGAAACCAGGCAGCAAAGCGGGGGTGGGGGGGCTGTTTTTGGTTGTGCTGCTAAAGAGTTAAGCACAGTGCAGGGTCACTCAACCAAGCCTGCATGGGGCAAGCGCATCAGAGAAGACTTCCTGGAGGAGGTGACGTCTGAGCCCAGGGCAGGCCAAGGAACATGAGCTCCAGGATGGGGATGTATGTTGGAGAGGGCATTCCAGGCAGAAGGAACAGCACTGAGGCAGGAAGGAACAGCCATCAGTTCCCAGTGATGGTGCAGATGCTAAGTCCAGAGGTGAACGGACGGGAGGCGGACAGGACTGTTTCCCAGGATTTGCTCGTGGCCCCCACTCTCCTGTGATCCGTGTAGGTCTGCTTTTACTCACATAGATACTTCATGAAGTTTTGGCCTGGAGCCTCTCCAGTTCGGAGGTGTGCCTCCCCCTCACTCTGTGCCCCTTCCCCCCACCCTGGGGCTGGGGGTTCCCTCCTGCAGCTGGTGGTCTTCGAGCAGGAGAACTTCCAGGGCCGTCGTGTGGAATTCTCTGGGGAGTGCTTGAACCTGGGAGACCGCGGCTTCGACCGAGTGCGCAGCCTCATTGTCACCTCGGGACCGTGAGTGTCACCCCCGGCGCCAGAGTGAAATACTCATAATGAAACGTAGTAGCTGCCAGAGTAAAATAGTAAATAATAGGAACGAAATAATAAAACAGTAAAATACTGTAATAAAATAACAATAATGTAACAGTAGCTGCCATTTCCTGGGCACCTGCTCCTGCTAGTGGGGACCCCTGTATTATTTCCAGTCCTCATTTCAAACTCGAGGGGGAGGTATTCTCCTCCTTCCCATTCTACAGATAAAGAAACTGAGGTTCAGGGAGATGATCTGATTAACATAAGGTCACACTCACAGTAACTCATGATTCTGGGGGCGTGGGCGGGAAATGACTGTTTCTCTATAGGAGGAACGAACCCTGCTTGCCTCTCTCCTGGCATCAGGCCACCTTAAGAGAAATAATAAGCCATCACTGAGCACACACTAGGTGCTAGACCCCGACTGGGAGCTTTACCTAGATGATTGCTACACAAGGCGTGCGTTCTTCTTCCTTTTTAATGTTTTATTTATGTTTGAGAGAGAGAGACAGCGTGAGCAGGGGAGGGTCAGAGAGAGAGGGAGACACCGAATCTGAAACAGGCTCCAGGCTCTGAGCTAGCTGTCAGCACAGAGCCTGACACAGGGCTCAAACTCATGAACCCCAAGATCATGACCTGAGCCGAAGTAGGTTGCTTAAGTGAGCCGTCCAGGTGCCCTAAGGGAGGCACTATTCTTATGCCCTTTTCACATTTGGGGAAATTGAGGCTCAGAGGGGTTAGGTCCCTTGGCCAAAGTCACGCATCGGTAAGTGCAGAGGCTGGATTCAACTCAGGTCAATTTCATCCACCCTGTTTTTATCGCTTACTCCCCTGCCTGCTGCTGGCTCTCTGGGCCTCTCTGGGCCTTAGTGACCCCTGTGGAAGGTCTGGTGGACAGAGTGGCTATACCAGCTCCAAACCCTGCTGAGGTCAGAGCACAGGACAAGCCCCACATGGCTCCTTTGCCTGTTGTCTCACCAGCCCCCAGTCTCCCAAGGGGTGTGGTCGGCCTGTATTCCCAGCATGCTGGGACTGCAGTACAAAGGGCAGAGATGGGCTTTGAGGTCAGTCAGGCCTGAGCCAACTCCCCCATTCGCCTTGCTCAGTTTCTGAGCCTCAGTTTCCTCATCTCTGTAATGGAGAGAGTAATGGCCCCCACTCCCCTCCATTGAATTATGCTGAAGCCTGGAAGAGAGAATGCAGCGACGCGCCTGCACCCGGTGAGTGCCCAAACACAGCGAGTGACAGCCACGGCTGCTTACCCTTTCCATTGCCCTGTGAGTTCAGCGAAGTTCAGCGAAGGAGGTGCCCTTCTACCCCCTGCCCCCGCCCCCACCCCTGTGTGGTCCACACTGCCTCAGCCCCACCCTCAGACCCGGCTGGGAGCAGAAGCTGCGGATGTGGCTGATTTGGGTTTTCAGGCTTTTTTTGGTGACAGTGACTCAAACCCAGAGTATTTCTCCTCCAACAAAGATGCAGCTGGTCTTTGGTGTGCGCTCTGGGGCTGCGCCCGATGGGGAGAGAAAAGGGGCTGTGGTCCAGCGTCCTGAGTCTGTCAGGACCGGCGGGGCTGTGGGAAAGACCGTGGTAGAGAAAGGATGGAGGGGATGAGGTGGGCAGGGGAAGGAGAGGAGAGCCGTGCCCTCAGCCCAGGGGTGGGGAGAGGGGGGCAGGCCTGCCTGAAACCTAGGAGCCTGCACCCTGACATCTGACACCATGCCAGGACCTTAGACAGTGATTTGATCCCTCTGAGCCTCAGTTTCCATATCTGTAACTAAATATCCCCGCCCTACCTCTCTCCTTGCTCATAAGGCTCCAATGAGCTACAGGGGATGACAAAAGATTGAAACAAATATATACAATTCCTCACTCTTATAACAGGTCCTCACTGGGAATTATGACTCCCAGAGCTATGACAGGGAACGTTTAGGGGGAAGGGGGCAGGGTGGCAAGACTACAGTGGAATCTATCTTTGCATATGCTCAGACCTCAGGCAGATTCGTTCCTTTAATCATAGAAGATAGTATTTATTGAGATTTCCCTGTGCTGGATTTGCTCCGTGCATTCCTTTTTCGACCCTCTCAGGTAGATGCAATATTTCCTCTCCTCTACTGAGGTTTAATGAGTTTGAGTGACTTGCCTGAAGTCACACAGCAAACAAATGATGAGCTGGGATTAGAACTTCGGTCAGTTTCCAGAGTCTATGCTCTTAATTACTACATGGCACCATCTCCCAAGGCTCCCTTCCCGCCCATCCATCCATCCATTCATCATCCATTTACTTGCCCATACACTTATCCATCCATCTGTAGATCCATCCATCCATCTGTTCATCATCCATCTACTTACTCATACATCCATCCATCCATCCATCCATCCATCCACCCATCCATCCATCTATCCATCCGTCTACCCATTCATTTTCCATTTTTTCATCCATCTACTCCCTCTATCCATCCGTCCATCCATCAGTACATCCATCTGCCCACCCAGCCATCTACCCTTGTATCCATCTATTTGCCTATCTTGCCACCTACCCATCCGTTCAACCATTAGTTCATCCATCCGGCCATCCACCCTTTTCTCATCTACTCTAGATCAAGAGGAAGATTCCTCTCTATTCTAGGACTGCAACTGCATCTTCAAATCTGTCACTCCAGTGTGGGCTGGCTCACTCCTTAGGCAAGGACCCGAGGCTCCTGGGACTTGTAGGGTTTTAGTCCATGGTGGTAACTCATCTCCCACATGACCCCTCCCACTGTCTCCTTCTGAGGAAGATCTCAGAGAGATGATACTAATGTCAGGGTCTCCTCTTATCCCCTGAGATCCCTGAATACATATAGAGCAAAGGTCAAAGGGTCCCTTAGCATCAACTTTCTCATCTATGAAATGGGTCCCTTAGTCTCAACTTTTTCATCAACCTCCCCCAGAACCAAAGGGTCCCTTTAACACAAGTACACTTCCCATCCTTAATCAGGGAAAGCCCTATGTGACTTCAGACTTGTAATCCTTTCTCATAGACGACTGAACATCTTCAAATGCACAGCCACACTTAATTATCAGACGTATCTGAGAAGTGGATGTCACTACCACTGCCTCCATACCAGTTACTGAGTGTCTTCCGTATTCCAGACTCGTTCTTATCCAGCGAAGGATTCCGGCCCCTGCATCAGCGTTCCCTTACCCCTCTACTTCCAAGACTCTGATTTATTTAGTATATTTCATTTAAAATGACCCTTTTGACCACAGTTAAATATCTGTTTAAAGAACCTTGACATCACTTTCACAACGGAAAGCTAGTTTCCCTTGCTGTGAGTAAAAGGTGAAGAATCAACACAATGAATACAGAGAAGTGGTATTATACTGCTGCTTGTTCAAGGCTCTGGGTGGACGGCTGTTCTTCCCTTATCACAGAAAGAGAGACTAGTGAGTGTGAAAGGTCCATCGGCATCCCACAGAGACTTTCCCCTAGCTGTAATCAGGTTTAATATAAAATGTCTTCTTATGTCTTATTTTACTCCAGGGTCTGGTAGTGCTTAAATTATGTGTAAATCCCACAACGGGGGAAACATTTTGCTCACATAATGACACACCTTGTCTCACTGAATCCTCCACCAACCTCCAGAAAACAGGCGTATTAGATGAGGAAACCAAGGCTCAGAGAGGTAAAGCCACCTGCTCATGGGCACACAGCCACTAAGTGACATAGCCTAGGATCAAACCCAAGGGTGCGGGGAGGGCTTCTGCTAATGGTTTCTCTCCTCTCGCCTTTGCTCCTCCCGGCCCTCGACTTTCTGTCCCTCCCTCTCACACCCAGCTGGGTCGCCTTTGAGCAGTCCAACTTCCGAGGGGAGATGTTCGTCCTGGAGAAGGGCGAGTACCCACGGTGGGACACATGGTCGAGCAGCTACCGCAGCGACAGGCTCATGTCCTTCCGGCCTATCAAGATGGTGAGTGGCTCCTGAGCCCGTCCGGGGGGGTCGGTGGGGAGGGGGCAGGAGCAAGCGTCAGGTCTGATGGCAGACAAGGGAATGGGGACGAGCCAGGGAAAGAAGGAGAAATGGCAGGCAGGGAGGGACAATGACCAAGGGCCCTAAGCTCTGATGCTCTTCGATTTATAAGGTGTCCCTGACATACCCTTGGTGTCCCCAGCCCCTGCTAGGAGCCCTGGACACAGGAGAAATACAAACATGGCTTTTTCCTTCCCTGCTGCTGTAGAGAGTAGACTCACTGCCTTAGTGGTTGGAACTAGAAACTTCAGCGTCTTCCCTGCTTCTCTTTGTGGTCTGTTTCTCATTCCCGACTGCACGTTAGACCCTCCTAAGAAGTGCTGAAAATCTCAGGGCCTATTCAAAACATCAAACGGGCAGGTTCAAGCCTGTGTGGTAGCTGAGAAGAGGGATGTTATAGAGAAGGGCGCCTTGAACTTCACGGTGAAAGGACAACATACTGAAGTAGCTCCTTTATGATATTTAACTGAGTGAAATAGTAGAACTCGAGGAAGACTCAAAGCCACGATCAGTGGTGGGATCCCCAAGAAATTCCATTTTTCCAGAGTAGTGTTGACTGCCATGCATGAACCAGCCATGTCTCCAGTCACCACTGTTGATTTCCAGGGGTGACCAACTTTCGCCTCCATGATGGGAATTTTCATGAAGGACTTTGATGAATGTCTGTGATGTCAGCTGTTTGGGCATCACAGAATTTCATCTTAATGGATTATTCAACCACATCATTCCCAACATATTTCTCAGAATTTGGAGCTGAGTTATCAGGCTCTAATGGGCCATTTGTAAGAATTGATAGATTTGTTGGGGCGCCTGGTGGAAGAATTCATAGATTTCTCTCTCAATCAATGGTCTGTAAAAGGCAATCTAGGTCAACAAAGCTGGTTGGGAGGATTGACCCGCTGGGGCATTTCTCGTAGCTTCTAGAAGTTTGCTGTCCAATACCCTAAGGAGTAGCTGTATGTGGCTGTTGAGTGCTTATTACATCTTGACTAGTCTTAATAGGGATGTGCTCTCAGCACATATTTATTTTTTATTGAAAAATAAAATAAGAATGTAACTATCTCATTGCTATTGCTATATGGTTTGCGTGTTGACATTCTAATAGGTTGGACATATTTGCTTACGTAAAATGTATTTTTAGGGGCAAAAAAAATCCCAATGCCTGGACCCCACCCCAGATCAATTAAATCTGAATCTCTGTGCTTGGGGTCATGGGCACTGATATCTTTCTCATGCCCACCAGGTCTGAGGTGTTGGCGGGGCTGAGAACACCAGACCACTCTCTCCTCTCTGTCTTGGCCACTGTGCTTATGTGGGCCACCATGATCTCTTCCTTGGGCAGCTCCAGCTCCCTCCCCACCGGGTTCCCTAACTCTTTCCTGGGACATTAGATGGATGTCTAACCTGATCTACCGTCCACTTACCACCACGCGTTCAGCCACCGTCAGTTGATTTTTTTCCTGCCAGGCTCAGTTGCAGGCTCCGAGTGCACAGCTCTTCACGGGGCAGGCACAGTCCCTGGCAGCTACAGAAAACCTAATCACAGCAATCGATCTGCCATCACAAAGCACGTGGCCCGCGCCGTGTGCTAGGAGAGTAGGAGAGGATAGTGGGGCTCTGCTGTGGGGAGAGGGGGTGGAAGCCAGCTCCCCGGGGGACCGAGTCAGCCACAGAAGGCCTGACGGGCTTCTCCGCTGCAAAGGGAGTCCCTGAAGCAAGGATGAACCGGGTGCCGAGGCACTAAACCACAGCTGGTGTGGCGGGATGGAGGGGAGGCGCGTGCAAGATGGAGAGGGGAGAGGAATGAGCTGCTTCTCTGAAAGCCTCTGGCTCTCGCTGGCTGTGTGACAGTGAGCAGGAGTCTTGGCCTCTCTGAGCCTCTGCGTCCCTGACCGTAAAGATGACAATAAGGAATAAATAAATAAATAAATGATTTGGTAAGCACTTAATCGTAGGCGTGGTGCCGAGTGTGCTATGTGGATTACTTCATTTAATCCATATGAAACTCCATAAAATAGAGGCTGTCATATCCTCCTTTCACAGCCGAGGGGGCCCTGTCAGGCTGGACAGTGGCAACCCCCGGTGACACCCAGGATGACCCGAGCAGACTCAGCATTCTCTCTCTCCACACCCAGGGGGGCCCTCTATGTTACTTCTCTCTGCCCCATTCACACTTCATACGCCTGACCCAGTCTCTCCTTCCCCAGGATGCCCAGGAGCACAAGATCTGCTTGTTTGAAGGCGCCAACTTCAAAGGCAACACCATGGAGATCCAGGAAGATGACGTGCCCAGTCTCTGGGTCTATGGCTTCTGTGACCGCGTGGGCAGCGTGAGGGTCTCCAGTGGAACGTAAGCATCTCTCCTGCCAGGCCCGTGGCTTCTGCTTTAAGCACTGACTCAAAAGCTGTCCCCCTTAGAGAATATAACACCGGGTGTGTAGCAAGGCCACATGACCCTCCCGAATGCTCCCAGTGCTGGGGCCTGGGATCGCCCTTACAGAGCTTTATTTCCCTGGACAGTGTACTTTGATGAATTGCATGTCTGTGTAAACAAACCTGGCAACTGGTTCTAAAAAGGTGGGAGGGGGGAAATAACCACTTTTAGACCCACTGGGATTGGAGAAATAAATGAGGGAGGCAGAGTTCATGCAGGTAGCTGAGAATGCTTGGGGAACTTCCAGAGCCTCTGGGGAGATGAGCAGTATGGCTTCTGGGAGGTGAGACTGTGTGATGCAGGGGCCTTCACCGTGTCACTGAGGTGCCATGAAACGCGGGTGAGCCCCGTGCCCCTCTCTCTGTTTCAGTATTGCTGTCTATACAATGGGCCCAGCAGACTCCTTGATCTAAAAGGGCCCTTTATTCGAACTCTTCAGATTTGAAGTTTTCAAGAATTTATTTATTTTGAGAGAGAGAGCACGCGTGCACACAGGCAGATTCAGGGAAGGGGCAGAGAGAGAGAGAATCCCAAGCCGACTCCACACTATCAGTGCAGACCCCAACGTGAGGCCCAAACCCAGGGACCACGAGACCATGACCCAAGCCGAAAACAGACGCTTAGCCAGCTGAGCCACCCAGGTGCCTCTAGATTTGAAACTTTCAAAGCAGAGCCCAGCGACCTCATTTCTGTGAGAACACAGAGGACTGGATGCCCGGAGGAGATCACTGTAACCATCCCTCTGCCTTTGAACAACCGTGCCAGACGGTCCTGGTCTCCTCTAAGCAAATACAGGTCTTCTGTGTCTCACCCAGACGCTTTCTAAGTTCCTGTAACACCCTCAAGGCTCTGGCTTTTTTCTTTGGCTTTTCTTTTTCTCTGAAAACCGTGTCCTCGGATGCACACCATCTGATATTTACTACACATCACCTGTGAGCCCAGACACGGCGCTAGAACCCTGGGGAAGGCGGGATGAATAAGGCTCAATTCTTGCCTTCAGGGGGCTTACTCGGCCCGACAGGGAGGCCCAAGTTTACCCATGAGATGATGTCCAACATTACTGGCTCAGAGATGGTCCACGCAGGAGGTCACAGGAGGAAGGGACCTGGGTGTGTGTGCTGGAGTAGATGGCAGGTCAGAGGCTTACCTGGGGTGACTAGATCTGAAAACAGGCTTTGAAAGGTGGGCAGGGGGTATGGGAGAGGCCTGGACAGACCCTCCCAGCCCAGGCAATGACAGCAGACAGAAATGAATCTTTAATGATAACTACGTACCAAGCCCTGTGCTAACTACTCTCAGCGAATAGCTATGGAATCTTTGTGACAAACCGACAAGGTAGATACATTATTGTCTGTTTCACGGACAGCAAGCTAGAGTTCTGGTAAGTCCTCTCTTCAGATTCTCACAGCTAGTAGGTGGCCGTGCGGGGATCTGAACGGAGTATTGCTGATATCGGAATGTGCATTCCCAACCACTACATGTAAATTCACTTACGTACATAGGAAACCATTATTTGAAAGGAGGCTCCTCTTTCTTCGCTGCCTCGTTGCTAACCAGTCCCCGAGACCTATTCTCATCCCTTCGATCCTGTTCTGTGAGCCCCACGTCACCACCATCCGTGGGATGTGCGTTGATCTCCCCACCACCCAAGCCCACAATATACTCAGTTAACTATTTTAGGTGCATTTTTCCCTCTGGCCCCCGGATTCGCTGGCCATGGTGACCACTCCACTTTCTAGAAGGGGAAACTAAGGTCTTTTAGTCACTGGCCAAAGGCAATAGGAAGCCCCAAGGAGGGGCAAAGCCAGGACAGAGGAGCCGCGCTGGCTTCCTGTGACCCAAGCCCATGAGGGATGGAGAGTCGATTGCAGGGACGGGGCAGGGGGAGCTGGCCTGTGGGGGGGGACCTGGGAGCCGGGCAGTGAGGCTGACTGTCTCACCCTGTCCTCCCCGCTTCCCTTCCAGCTGGGTCGGCTACCAGTACCCCGGCTACCGCGGATACCAGTACCTCCTGGAGCCCGGCGACTTCCGACACTGGAACGAGTGGGGGGCTTTCCAGCCGCAGATGCAGTCCGTGCGTCGCCTGCGTGACAGGCAGTGGCACCGTGAGGGCTGCTTCCCAGTCCTGGCCGCCGAGCCCCCCAAGTGATCCCATCCGCACCCTGCTCTTCTCCCTAGCCCCACCCCTCCTCCAGACTCTGTTTCCCCATCTTTCCCATGCAAATAAAAGTTCCTAAAGCCAACGTGTCTCCTGGGTCGGTGCATAGATGTGAGCTTTGGGGGTCCCTCATCACTGCCGGCACGTGACTTCCTCCGTCTTCATAATTATGTATTCCAGTAATACACGCAGCAGGCAAAAGTTCGCGACACACATTCCCTTAGTATATCTTTTGGACTGCTCTAAGTGGCTGGTATCATAATGACTCCCACTTAACAGGTGAGGACACTGAGACTCAGAGGGGGAAAAATGACTTGCCCAAGATCACACAGCCAAAATTGGAACCCAGGCTGTCGGGCTGCCGAGCCTACGCTCTGAAACAAATCCGTGTTTTCCAACACTACTCCTTCGAGCGCGCTGCTGATTCTTTGCCTTCTCTGCTTAACACCTGTCTTGTTATTTACTTAATATTTTTATTTAAACAGACTTCCTACTTTGTGCTTAGAGGCATTGATTTGTAAATGAAGCTTTATAACACCACGGGAAGTGGAAAATCAGCATCATATGCCACAGATAGAAAGCAATCGTGTAAATATACTTTTAAGAAGGCCAAGTATCAGACAGACACCTGCCTGCTGACGACTCTCAGCCTGTAGCCCGCTCGCGCTTTGATAAAATGGGTGATTAGCAAGTGTTGCCGAGAGATCTGAAAGACACACACCAAACAGATTTTTTTCTCCCTCATATAATCAAAGAGGATTGAAAACAGCATTACTTTTCTTGTATCTGATGCAGTGTTACTTAATCCCGGGTCCGAATTCCGCTGAGAATCATCTCCCCTACTACAAATAGTACATGCCCTGCTCTTTGGAAATCTGCACCAGGCAATATTGACGCCCATATCCACAGTTATTATTGATTGATGTTATTAACCTTTAATCCACATAGGAGGGTTGCCGGGGGAGGTGTTGCCATGGAGGAGGTGATATTTGAGGGGACCTTGAAGGTTGGGACAAGAGCTTCCTTGGTAGAGAAGAGGAAAGATGACATTCCAGGCAGAGAACACAGCGAGGACATTACCACCACCCCCCCATGGCACCTTGGTTCAAATGACAAAATGATACCTCAAGACATTTGACTGCCATCTGCGAGAATTTCTTGGTCTAAATCTGGGACGTCCAAAGTGTGAAGGCAATACCCTCCCGCTGTGCCCAACTTACACAGCTGTACTTGGCAGGCCTGGGGCACCATGTGGAAAGGCGCAGAGGTTGAGAGAGTTTGTTGTGGGCCCGAGCGAAGCTTATTGACATGAGGGCACTAGCTTGGTGGTTGTGTGGGCAGAAGCTGGGGGGGGAGGGGGTGGTTAGGAAGAAGTTGCCGAATGCAGCAGGAGATGAAGCTGGGAAGAAGGGTGGGGCCCCCTGACGCCCCACTCTGTGGTTTTGCTGAGCTGCAAAGCTGAGGTACCACCTGACTCTGAAGGTCTTTGCCCTCTGAGGCACGCCCTCCCGCTCCCTCCCATCCTCATTCTCCCCGCCTCCACCCTCTAATGTGACCAGCGTCTTCCATTAGAAGACAGGTTCTCTTGCGTTGGACTAGAAGGTTCCTGTGCAGGAATCTGTGGATGCGGCGTTTGGCCTGCCCCACTGTTAGAAACTGCCGTGTTGGGCAAAATGCTTCCGTTCCTTGGGACTCATTCTTCCTGTCCCTACGAGGGCCGCTCGAATGTTCAGCCAGACCCAAGATTCTGACGCTGGGATTCCGTGGTTCCCAGCTTCCATGATTCTCCACGGGCCCGTACTTCATCTCCGAATGGCCATGAATCTCTAGTTCCCAAGTCACGCCATACAGATTCCCACCCTCAGTTCCTAAGGTCTGCGGGGGCAGCTCTAAAACTCCACTACAGTGGAGTCAAGCCTTCCAGTCACACGAGCTCAGCTGTGAGTCCTCACTGACAGCGAGACGCAGGCTTTGGTGAAAAAGAGAAAGAAAAAGAGAAAGACTCCCCATTGAAACATAACACAAGCTGCTTTCTGATCACTTAGAATTTGTATTTCATACTTCTCGAAAGAACTATTTTGGACGTAACAGGTGTTTTGTTTTCCGTGCATCAATCCTGCGAGCCCGCTAAAAGGCAAACATAATAGACATCCGTTGGTTAAAATGAGTGATAAAGCTTCTGCGCGTTCGTAATCTAGATTTTCCAAGTTGCTTTAACTCAGAGGTGTCAATGCCCTGATTTTCTCATGGGTCTTCTACGAAAATGGTGTGTGTGTTTTCTGTGCTGAAGCGTGAGCTCACGCTCAGCAAAGCCAACCAACAAAAGCTAGGAAGGAAATGTCCAAGTAATTATTTTCTGTTTGACCTTTCGCTGTATCCATATGTTATTCCGCTTTTGTTAACAAGCCTATGAATCGACACACCACGTAATAAAAAGCCAGAACAGATACAAAGGACAGGCAAGACTAAGACAAAAACAGGTAAAAAGGCGGGGAGGGAGGGTGACATTTAAGAGTTACAGACCTGTTGTTTCTGCCGTGGGTCCTACTTTCAATGACATGTGAGCTTCTCACCACCTGGAACAGAATTTCAGAGCTTAGATAGAAGTCACACTTTTTTTTTTGCCTCGAAACTGAAACTTAGAGCATTTGACTTTATCAGGTGTTCAACAGAAGGAGTGATGGTGGGCGCCTTGCTGGAGGCCACCGGTGGAGCCAGACTCGGTCACATGGCTTTGGCACCCATAGCTTTTTTGGGGGGGGGGCTCCTCAGTGCTGGTTTGGACTCTGCGGGAGCTTTGCCCTAAATGCTGGCTTCAAAACGCAAGGCACGCTGGGGTGTCATCATGTTTCGATATTGGATTCCAGCTCCTGAGTCTCTGAGTCACAGGCCTTTGGGAAGACACAGTGCCTTAGCTGTGGAACGTTATGTCCCGTCCACAGCAACAGGAAGCAAGCCACAGTCTTTCGGGCATCAGGGCACGGATAGAAGTCAGCGCTGTGTGTGCGTGCCAGGGGCGGGGTGGGGCTGGAGGGACCACCCAGGGGTGCGATCCCTTGCGTGCCAGCACCAGATGCCGATGGACACAAAGCAACCGAGTTTGGGGAAAGGGTCATTGTACCAGGGTGTCCCGAGGAGTTCCTAGAGAGGTGAGCATCTCTTTAGAGCCTCGTTGCCATGACGGCCAGTCACCTGGACCAGATACCTAAGCTCAGAGTGTTTTGTGCAGCTTGGGTCCCCAGCCAGGAGTGCTACGCATCTTCCAGCAGGAGGAGAGAACTGCCCCTCGATCCTAGCTCCCTGTCCACTGCGGGCCACCTGCTGCCACCACCATTCCGAGTCTGCATCTCGGCTCTGACATTTACAAGCTGTTGCCTGCGGTCAAGACAAATTACCTGCTGGAGCCTCTGTTCCTTCATCTGTAAAATGGGAGACATGGGGTTGTGGGGAGGAGTAAAGGATTGACTGAATATGATAAGGAGCTTAAAGCATAGCATTTCCCTTACTCATCATTCGTATCATCTTCTCAAATGTTGGAGCTGGAAAGAGGTTTTTTTTTTTAATGTTTTTATTTATTTCTAGGAGAGAGAGAGAGACAGTGTGAGCAGGGGAGGGTCAGAGAGAGAGGGAATCACAGACTCCGAAACAGGCTCCAGGCTCTGAGCTGGCAATCAGCACAGAGCCCAACGCGGGGCTCGAACCCATGAACCGCGAGATCATGACCTAAATGAAAGTCGGACACTTAACCGACTAAGCCACCCAGGCGCCCCATGGAAAGAGTTTTAGAATCAACGTGGTTCGTTTTTAAGTTTATTTAGAGATGGGGGAGGGGCGGGGGGAGGAGAATCCCAAGCAGGATGTGCACTGTCAGCCCAAAGCCCAATGCGGGGCTTGAACCCACGAACCATGAGATCTTGACCTGAGCCGAAGTGGGACGCTTAACCGGCAGAGCCACCCAGGCGCTCCTCGAATCAACGTGTTTCATGCCACATTGAGTCTTCCTGCTTCTGACAAGTATTGGCTGAGGGCCTCCTAAGTGCCAGGCTTCCTCTAGAGGCTGGGGAAACAGGTTGAGGGAGAAGACATAAGAGGCCCCGCCTGGTTATTCATAGACTGGAGGAGTGGACGGGGTGAGACCTTCCATTTGGTTTCAAAGCCACATCAAATTTCTAGGCTGCGTGGTCCAGTGTCTGTCTCATCAGGATCTCCTGGGGGTCAGGCAGGCTTCCTCAGGGAGGGGCAGCTAGCTTGAGATTTGTAGCGGTTCAGCAAGCTGGAGGACTGAGAGGAGAAGCTCCAACCTAGAAACCAGAGGATCATCTGGTCCCCTTCTTTACCCCCGACTGAGATCTGCTAGTTCTGTCTTCCCGACATCTCTGGAACCTGACCCTCCTCTCCATGCCTCTGGTCCTGCCCTGGGTTGGCCACCTCCCCTGGGGTACTTCAACAGCCTCCAGCCTACCTTCCCTGCCTGTCCCTCTCCACGGAGCAGCCAGAGGATCTCCGCAGAAAGCAAAATTAACAAGGTCCTTCCCCTGCGGAACACCTTCCATGTCTTTCCATCGCTGCCACATGAGGTCCTGACTCCTTCCCAATTCAGCAAAGCCCCACGGCACTCAGCCCCTGCAGACCCCTCTGATCTCCTGTCTCCCCCCTCTCCCCACATCCGGTCCACTGCCTTCACGAGAGCCTACATCTGAAAAGTGCTTCCTGCTGGACCTTTGAACCTGCAGGTCTCCGTCACTGGCACACTCTTCCACAGACCTAGGCCTTTGTGTAAACATGCCTGGCCCTCCCTCCCTGGGCCAGGTGAATCCCCCCTGTTCCCTCCTCCCCAACTAGGGGTGCCCACTCTATCGTGCATGCGTAGTGAAGGGTCTGGTTTCCCCACGTGGATGCAGAGTCCTGTCCCCCGTTAGGTGCTGAATCCCAGTGCCCATCATAAGGTGCTCAGGAGATGCTGTTGCTGGCCAGAATGCATTAAACAAAGGGTCCCCCTTTCGATCTCTTCCCCCATCTCCATTTCTCCGCCCACATCGGGGCGTTATAAAACACCCAGCAGAGTTACTATGCAGTTAGTCATCCAAAGCCTCGAATATGTGTACAACAAATGTTGTGTGATAATGTTCTTAAATAAGTCAGCTTCATGGAGACAGGTGACTTCATATCGTCAGTCCCAATACTTTCTACGTGGTAGGCACTATTTACTGGACACATGAACGGATTAATGAAGAGCTATGAATGAACGAACGCATGGCGAGCTGTGGGCAAATTATCTCTTTTCCGTATGTCTTGGTTTTGTTATCTGTAAGATGGGGGTGACAATACACCTATCACAGGATATTAAAAGTTGACACATGTAAATATAGATGGAGTGTTTAGATAAAGACCTGCACTTATATATATGTGTGTGTTTGCTGTTATGGTTGTAACTGTTAGAAAAATTTTATTATGTTTATTTATTTTTGAGAGAAAGAGAGACAGACAATGGGCAGGGGAGAGGCAGAGAGAGATGGAGACACAGAATCCGAAGCAGGCTCCAGGTTCTGAGCTGTCAGCACAGAGCCCGATTCGGGGCTCAAACTTATGAGATGTGAGATCAAGACCTGAGCTGAAGTGGGATGTTTCACCAACGGAGCCACCCAGGCGCCCCAACAGAAATTTATTTTAAATAGACAACATATAGATGGTTAAAAAACAACAAAGAACAAAAGGTCCACAAGGAAAGGTAAGCTGCACCCCTTCCTACCCCTTCCTTCAATGAGATGCACATAATACATAGACAGATCTATTATACACACATTTTACAGATGAAGACACAGGCACAGAGAGGTTAAATATCCTAGATGGAGCTGAGACCTTCCAGCCCAGAGTTTTATTTTACTCATGTATGTCAGGGTTTCTCAACCTCAGCACAGCTGACATCCTTGCCTGGGGGGGGGGGGCGCTGGGGAGGGGACTGTCCTGTGTTAATACAGGATGCTTAGTAGCATCTTAGGCCTCTACCCTCTGCACACCCCTACGACACTTCCGACCCCCAGTTGTGACAACCAAAACGGTCTTCATATATTGTCAAATGTCCTTGCGGTGGGGGGAAGGGCAAAGTCGCCCCTTTCTTGAGAACCCTTGACGTCTATGAATATGTACCATAGCTCCTCCCTCTTTTTTCCACACAGGAGCATAAATGCCCTCTGTTCAGGGTGTAGTCTTCTTATCTGACACCACTTCTCCGCGACCATTCCACTTCGCTGCTTACAGACAGAAGGGTAGAGCTCTGAAACAGAGCTGCCCCGGCAGGAAGAGTGGTGAGCTGCCTGTCCTGGGGGGTAAGCCAGCACGCAGAGGAGGACTTCCGGGGCGGGGCCAGCTCCCGGGGGCCGCCCCGCCCCCCGCGCGGCCGGAGGCGGGCCGCAGGGGCGGGGAGAGGCCGTGGGCGGGACCGCGCTCCGTTCCCGCCCCCACGCAACGTCACGGCGCCGCGGCCCCGCCCCCGCGCGCGGGTGCCTCCCCCTCCCCCGGCCGGGGTGGCTGGCCAGCCGGGTGTCGCTGGGCGCGTGGGGTCGCCTCGCCGCGCCTCCGCACGGTAGGTGCCCTGGGGCGGCGCGCGGGGCTCCGGGCCGCAGCCACTGGCAGGGGGCCGCCTGAGGGTCGGCCTCGGGCGCCGGGGAGCCCTCGGCCCGGGCGCCTTCTTCCCGGGCCCGGCGCGGCTGCTGGGGCTCCGAGGCTGGGAGCTGGGCGGGAGGAGGCGCGCGCGGCCGGTTCGAGGATCCGCAGGCGCCGGGAGCCCGGAGCGGTGTCCGCGGGGTGCGGCGGAGCCCGGGTCTCCGGCCCGCGTTTCCCGCCTCGGACCCGGCGCCAGGGCGGCGCTCGGCGTCGGTGTGTGTGTGTGTTTGTGTGTGTGTGTGTGTGTGTGTGTTGGGGATGGGGGGGAGCGGCGTGTCACAGTCGTCGGCATCCCCGACCCCTCATCTGCTTGCGGGGACCCCCCGGCGGGCGCTGGGACGCGCGGGGTAGGGGGGCGCGTGGAAGTTAACTTGGAACGCCGTGCAGTTGCGAGGCGTGTCCAGAGTGGAGGAATTGGGGGGGGGGGCGGAAATCGCTGGCTGGGGAGAGCGCCTCCGAGAGCTTGGGGTCCGGGGAGAGCTCGGGGTCCCTCTGAACTTGAGGGTCCCCCCGCGAAATTCGGCCAGAAGATCCCACCGCCCGGCAAGCTCCCCCTCGCAGTGTGAGCTGGAGGCGAGGTGCCTGATAAAGCTGAGGCTGGGAGTGGCCGCGAGGGAAGAGGGGCTTGGTCACCGCGCTGGACCCGGCAGAGGGCAGAGTCGTTGTTATTAAATGTGGGACAGAGGTCAGGCCAGGTGTTCCCACTGCACCGCACATGCCCTCGGGAGGAGGCGTGGGACCCATCCGATGCAGTGCAGTTGTTACAGGGCGCGGTGCTTATCACTTGGGGAAACTGAGGCTCAGAAAGGCGTGTGCCCAAGGCCCTAGTAGGCCCCACAGGCCGGACGCGGCAGGGCTGAAACCTACCCTCGGTCCTGACTTCATGTGTCAGGCCGGGAATGCTTCAGGAGCCTCAGGCAGCACCCCGTCCTGGAAGCCTTCCCCAGCGATCCCCAGGCATTGTGGGGTGCCTCCTGTTTTGAAACCCGCAGAGCTAACCTGCTCTTTCCCTCACTTAGCCACCTCCTTGCAGGTCTATGCCCGGTCCTGGGCTGTGGACACCTCTCCCACACCCCGTCTCCTATCCTTTCATTCAGCTAGGCGGCCTGATGGTTAGGCCAGGCTTCTGGAGTTAGGCTGATCTCGGTGTGACTCACTCTGGTTTAGTAGTGATGTAGCCTGCTCCAGTCATTCTTCCTCATCCAGCCTCAGTTTCCATGACTGCAAAATTGGGCTTTTTGAGTCATTCGTGAACCATGCTTACCCTGCGGAATCCTATCTGTATGATTATATTACCTACCCAGCGTTATGTGTTCCTATCAGTATTCCTTAAAATCTCGTATAATCTCTTTATAGCAGCTTTACTGAGATACAATTCAGATTTTAAAGCATTCAGTTCACTGCTTTTTAGGATATTTGCAGAGATGGGCAGCCACCGCCCCTACCTAATTCTAGAACATTCTCATCACCCAAAAAGAAACCTTGGACCCCATCGGGCAGTCACTGCTCAATTTCTCCTTCCCCAGCCCCTGGCAGCCACTAATCTATTTTCCGTCCCTGGACTTGCCTGCGCTGGACCCTTTGTGTGAGTGGAGTCACGGACAACATGGTCTTTTGTGACTTAAGTGCTTTTCACTTAGGATGGTTCATCCATGGGGGAACATATAGCGGTTCTGTGTTGCTTTTTATTTTTATTTTTCCGTATTTCATTTCTTTCTTTTTCTTAAGTTTTTAATTCCAGTATAGGTCCCGTGTGGTGTCATGTTAGTTTCAAGTGGAATAGTTGATCACCTCTTAAGGGCTGAGTAATATTCCATTGTATGGGTGCACTCTATGTTCTCCCCCTTGGCAACTGACAGACATTGGCGTTCTGTCCACTTTTTGGCTGTCGTGAATAATGCTGCTGTGAATGTTTGTGTACGAGTCTGTGCGTGCGCATGTCTTTGCAGTGCTCTCGGGTATATCCCAAGGAGTGGAATTGCTGGACCACATGGAATTCCACATTTAACCTTTTGAAGAAGGGCCAGTTTTCCAAAGCAGCGCCTACTTTTACAGCCCCACGGGCAGCTGATGAGGGTGCCGATAATCTTAAAGAAATCCAGTTTCTGAAGCCATCCTAATCTCCGAAATCACTGGCTCTGATGTGCTCATTATAAATGATTTTCCAGTACGCGTTGAATTAAATGCCTTATTAGCAGAATGAGGAGTGTCCTGTAGGTCTCAAGGAACAGCTCCAGCACCATCAGGACACTGGTATTGAAGCCCCGTGAGTGCTTAGCAGGCGTACATGCGCACTTATGTCGCTTCTGTTAACAGTGACCTGACTTGCTGAGGGCATCGTCCTGGGCCCCGTGTGGGACAGGGGGCAGGGTGGAACCTGGTGGCCGTCAGTACCCACCCCAGACCTGGGGGTGCCTATTAGGAACCTGCACCCAGTGGAAAGAACTGCTCAGAGCTTCCCACCCCTTCACAGCGAAGACCCGCAGAGGCCGGGGAAAGGCTTGTCCCTCAGCTGCCAAAGGGAATCTGGTTCTGCCCATGTCCCATCCTGGCCCCCACGTCCATTGTGAAGGTGACCCCCCTGGTGGCCGTGTGAGGTGGGCCATCTGAACAGCCTCAGCCACCGCCTGCTTCACTAGGTGCTGCCTGCCAGGCCTGAGTGGCAGGTGCCCCATTGCTGCCCCTCAGGACACACAGACACCCTCCTTTGGGCCTCGCCCCTGTGTCCGGAACCCCCACCTCTTCCCTCACGCTGTTTGGCTTCTGCCCAGGTCAGGGCATGACATTTTCGTGGAGGCACCAAGTTTCTCGAAGGTCATCGCTTCTTCCTGACATTCTTAAACCCATTGTCTGCTGGCTCTGGACCATGAGGCAGCCTTCATCCGTGCATTCTGGGCTCCCACCGGGCAGGCTGGGCCTACTGGGGCATCCGCTGTTTGGGAGGGCCTGGGAGCCAGGCCTCTGGCCGCTGTGCCCAGCCCCAGCCCCTCCTGCCTTTACCCATTCGTGCCTACTTTCCTCCCCTTGCCCTTGTAAAATCCAGCTTTCCTGTACAGCCTGGGGAAACGGAAGTGCGGTCAGGAGCCTAGGCAGGCATGGGCCTCAGTGTATCCTGCTGGGCAGTGGGTGTGGACTGAGTCGACTCAGATGTAGTGCCACCTTGGGACTCGTAAAGCCATCCAAGCGTGTCATCAACGTGACTCTGTGAGTCCATTTGTAGTGAGAGGTGGGTCACAAGTGGCCGGTGTGAGTGATTTGAAAGCCCAGGTCCGGCCCAGCCGGCCCTGATTTGCTGTGTGGCACTGCAGACACCAGTGTGGGTAACAGCAGCTCCGGCCTCATCACCTGCCCCCTCTTCCTGCTAGCGGCGGGCCCTCCTTGCCCACCTTAGCCACACATTCACCCTGCGTGGGGCCGCTCGGGAGACGGCTTTGAGATCCTGCCCCCTCCCACGCCCCTTCTCCTGTCTCCTCCACCCTGGGTTGTGGCCTGAGGAGAGATTGCGGGAATGATTCATTGAGAACAGCCCGAGGGCTGGGCAAGGCCCCCGAAATCCTTGGGGTGGGCTGCCGAGTCAGCGCCCTTATGCCCAGGGGAGCCTCTTGGGGGCCGCCTAGGGAGGAGCCTCCGTTACCCTCCGTGCTCAGATGCTGGGAGGCAAAGGCAGGGGGCAGGCCCATCTGCCAAGTGCATTCTTGCATCAACCAGACTTCTGACTGGGCTTCGGTGGCAGGCAAGCAGGCTGAGCGGCGGCCCGGGAGGTGGAGGGCTTGCGCCCGCGTTGGAATCCAGTCATTCCACCTAGCGGCTGCATGTCCGGCTTTCCTGCCTTCCCTGTGCATTAGTTTTTGTGTCTGCAGAATGGAGGTGCGGCGAGGACTCACCTCCTGGTTCGGACCAGAGGAGATGGGGGTAAAGGGCATACCTTGGTTCAAGGCCAAATGTGAGGGCGCTCCGGGGCAGACAGGCTGTTGGAGTCTGGAGCGTGTCCCTTTGGAAGCCTCAGAGTCCCCATCTGTCAAGAAGCAGCAATTATAACTGATATCAACAGAGCTCACCAGGCGAGAGGCACTTGATGTATGTTATCTGATTCAATTCTCCCAAGGGCTGTGTGAAGTGGACTAGCCGAGGGGTGCCCGGGTGGCTCAGTCAGTTGAGCATCTGACTCGATTTCGGCCCAGGTCATGATCTCAGGGTCGTGAGATCAAGCCCCAGGCCCCTGTGCACATGCATATGTGTGTGCTCTCTCTCTCTCAAATAAGAAAAAAATAAAAAGAAACAGACAAGCTGAGGCACAGAGAGGTGAAGTAATTTGGATAAGATCCCTCAGCCAGGAAGTGGGAGAGACAGGATTTTAATCCTGAGTCTACACTCTTAATTATCATCACCACTTATAATTACCATCTTACCCCCTCTTGATACCCTATCTTAATGCCCAGCACAGAAAACACTAAGAAGGTATCAGTTATTATTACTGTATTGTATTATTATATATTGTTACGAATTATTATGTATTATTATTTTTTAAGTTGTTTCATTCATTTTTGAGAAAGCAAGTGCGCCCATGAGAGTGGGGGAGGGGCAGAGAGTGTCCCAAGCAGACTCTGCACTGTCATCACGGACCCCCATGTGAGCCGAAATTGAGTCGGACACTTAACCGACTGAGACACCTAGGCGCCCCTACAAATTGTTATGTTTAATTAATACGTATTCATCCCTTTTCCTGCCCACTTGTCCATGCTCCATCCTGGATGACAGAGACACAAAGGGCTCTCAGCTTGTGAAGTCCAGATTCCTACCTCCCAGCCCTCATCCCCCACCCCCACTCCCTCCCGTTCCCCACCCTCTCCTGAGCACTTGGGGCTGGGTAGAGGCTTGGAGACATCTGAGCCCGGCTTCGCTTCCAAAATCACTCCGTGA